GTGTCTGATAGGTACTAGAAACGTCACTTTCCATCCAATCCCTCTCGCGACACGTTCCTGGAATTAGGCTGGAATTAGGCAGCTCAAGGATTTAGTAAAATCCTGTACCATAAGGCTGTCCGTGAGTGACAAGGGAGGGGAATTCGTAGTGAGCCACCAACTCGATTTCGGATTAACGAAACGACATCTCGAAGATCACACTCTCTACCGACAATCCTCGAAGAGAGAGCTTCAATTGTAGTTCCGAAGGCTGAATCGAGAATGGATGACGCTGGCAAAATCGTCGGGCTTCGACTCTAACCCAATTAAACGTCTCAAATTGGAACCACAAAGCTGCCTCCTACTGGAACTTCTCCTCAAGACCCACAAGCTCTGACCAACGGACGATTTGGCCTCATTTTGACTTGATATTTGTCGCCAATCAAAATCGCCAACCCTGTGAGATTTGGCCTCAGTTCTTCCTTTGTCAAGGTTAGAGCTACCATCAGCAGCGTGGGGTTCCCACTGACAGGATCGCTTGATTCCCTAACACCATTTTGGCGCAATTACTCCAATTTATACCATCGCACGTTGCTATATGGAGGCCGTTTCAGAGATTCTCACTCAGCGCTGCCTTGCCCTCAACATGAAAGGGTTTTCCAAAAGACAAGTAATGGGACTTCTCAAGGAGTGCTTTAAAGGCACGGTTCACGATAAAAATGGTTGTTGAGTTCTTCCTCTAGGAATACTCAGTGGTCACCAAGGGCAAAAGAAAGGCCCTCTTGCGCCCAAGATCTCGACGGTTAGGGCCAGTAGCAGGGCTTAGTGGAAGCCCTCTTAATGGCTTCGGTGGCTTTCCCGCCACTCGATCGATGTCACGTCAGACGAGTGTCGAGGCAATACGAGTTGCTATCATACGTTCTGGTACGCACACACAATCAGTTGTTCGCCGACTAATGAGGCGATGTATTTCTCCCACTCTTTCTTCCTCTGTTACTCTTTTTGCTGCCGCGATCCCTTATTTAATTTCCTACTCCCAGATCTGAAAAAGGTGAGCTACTTCTGCTGTTACTAGGTTTTTTGTTTACTTATGCTTGAATTTTTTGCTTATCCAGTCAGTTATTCGCACCAGGACCCACACGTACGCAGTGACCCACATTGCATAACTCATCCAAATGCCCCAATCTACTTCTTTCTTCTGGTTTCGTTGTCGTCCAGCCCCCAATTAACGATTTTTCGCGGCCTTTTTCACTTTGGAAGCACCGATTCACGCAGTTCCTTCGCACTATTTTTCATCTTATCTTCCATTTTTCTACATAATTTGGATTATCCGAAAGTATCATGAACTGTGCCTTAAACTGCAACGTGTTCAAATAGCCGCGTAGGCACTTTGCACAGACTAGAGCCATGGGGTAACCCCTTGCACCTTCTCTGGCCATTGCTTTTATGGCTGAAACGGAAACACGAACTCGTTTCGGAACGAACGAACTCGTTTTGGAACGTCTACCCATTATGTGCTGCCGAAACATTGACGACTGCTTCGTAGTCTGCTCGACACAAGAGGAGATGGGCGAATGTGTCGGACTCATCAATAGGTAATCTGAGCTTATCAAGCTAGCAAGTGAGAAGCCGTTAAAAGTTGGTTCCCCTTTCTTAGTCTTCAGGTCAAGCTTATGGCGTGCAACTTTGTCACACTTTGTCACAAAATGGTGTAGAAAGCCTAGTAACAAGAATATAAATCCAAAATCTAGAATCAGAAGAATCCAGATCAAAAGCTTTCCCCGAACAGTGATAAAAGTCTTCACCGAAGAGCATGAAAGAAAAGACTGAGTGGAGCTGGCTCGGAAAATCGCTAAGCTCAAAACGTCCTCCGCATCCTCATCGCTCCACTGCGGTGGAGGCTCCACCAGACCTAGTAGAGGTCTACTGAACGGGGAAATTCTTTTCATGATACCTTTTATTTTCGGTAAAGTAAGCGCTTCCATAAGGAGGTGTCAGGAGAGATTGGACCTGGAATACGCTGTTGGTCTTGTGGATTTTCCCTTTAATAACCTGAAACATCGTCTCGTTCAAATCCGTTTCTATGTCCGCACATGCGCGACCGAGAACTGTGTGGTCTGTCTCAGTGACAGTGATGGAGACTGCCATAGCAGGTGTGGTTTACAGGATCATCTGTCAAAATTGTGTGAGTGAATATATAGGGGAGACGGTTAGACCGCTATACGTTCATGTCAGGGAGCACTTGGAAGGAGAGGCAAGGCGCTTACCTGCGACTTGTTAGTGGACCAACATGAACAGTATCTGTTGACTTCCCATTTCATAACTGTTTCCTCGCCACGCTCACGTGACATTCACACTTTTCATAGGCCTACGTAACTTTCGGAAGGACGCACAAACGGGCATACGAATAGACGCACAAAATTACCGCTTCATATATCGGACAGTCGTACCGCTCGGCTCACGCTGGGCTTCCCTCCTTCTTATGATAAAGTTGTGATAAACGGCAAACAGCAACTCCTTTAGAACGAATGATACTTTTCGGAACACGAATTTCGATAGAGGAACAATAGGGCATGCAAACGATTTCCAAAATGTGCCGATGCCTATGCCATTGAATAGGATCTGTCTGTCTCCATCTGTCGCTGTTGATGTTAAAGGTTGATGTTGATGTTTGATGTTGATGTTACCCTCTGAAGATTTAACTGATAGGCATTCAAAGCCTTGAATGATACTCACAATTGTTGTCGAGTCATAATAATACCATTATCAAATGTCTTTATGAATAGAGCTCCTTTTATCTTCGAATACATCATTAAATGAGAATCTAAGATTATTAGCGGTCGGATAAGTTTTGCCATGAATGATATCAAAGCAGAGAGAAACCGTGATTCTTCATCGAATCGCAAACTTCGCTGGGTAGCGGTCGTAAGCAAGAAGTGAAACAAATTTCATAGTCGGTGCCTATTAGTGCACTCACCCATCTTGTCGAATGAAACATATCAAAGAGTTACAGCTAAATCGTAAATAACAAAGGCGCTAAGATTCAACTGGTGATTGAAGCCTGTTCTCTAAGGCCTCCCTTATCGTCAATGTTCCCGTCCTGCCCCTCTACTATTGATTTTGCTCTCCAAGTCAGTCCAAGGATCAGGAGCTATGGATTTTCTGCTCAAACATTTATTTCGCACAAACCCCGCCCCCGGCGGACGGAGTCTAGCCCTGCCCCCCACCATACGTGTTCCCATCCTACCGCCTGTGCTCCTACCAAATCTGAACGTCCTAGGTCCACGGGAACAGGAGTTATGAATTTCCGTACAAATAGACAGACAGACGGTCGGACAAACAGACGCGACCATATCTCTGCCGAATTTGAACGACCCAGGTCCAATTTGACTGTTTCTGAGGAAGCTCCGCTCCCAGTAGGCGGAGTCCACATCTGTCACCCACCATTAGTTTTCCCGTCTCGCCACCTACATCTCTGCCATATTTGAATACTCTAGGCTCAGGAGCAAAGGAGTTACAGATTTCCGGTGAACTACACTATTCGCGCAAGCCCCGACCCTAGCTAGGCGTAGCCTAGCTTAGATCACGTGTACCCAAGGAGTTCGGCTCATTCCCCACTTGTTCATCCCCAATCCCCACTTGTTCCAACCTGTCTGAGCTGTTCNAAAATAGTGACAGCAAAAACAGCCCTTTTTTTTGGCCTTTGATAGAAAACTAAATAAGGGATCGCAGCAGCAATAAGAATCACAGATAATAAAGGAATGGAAGAGNCGCCACCTACATCTCTGCCATATTTGAATACTCTAGGCTCAGGAGCAAAGGAGTTACAGATTTCCGGTGAACTACACTATTCGCGCAAGCCCCGACCCTAGCTAGGCGTAGCCTAGCTTAGATCACGTGTACCCAAGGAGTTCGGCTCATTCCCCACTTGTTCATCCCCAATCCCCACTTGTTCCAACCTGTCTGAGCTGTTCATTTTGATTCCCAAACGTTGCCGTATATCTTATCTTACAGTGAAACAGAAATTCAAACATAAAAAACATTTGGACATTTGTGGTTTATATATAGTAAGGATAATTATGTTGTAATCGTAGCACGATTCACAACAGAAGTTAGCTGAGTCCTATGAATTGTCATGGGAGAAATCACGACATATGTAGCGAACCATCCATAGCATTTACACAACCAGTAAATTCGATTGTAGATCCGACTAAATTCAGTAATGTCTATAAAGATGCGAAAATATTTCAGATCGAAAGTATATGCAGTTGCTTCGTTCTGAACAATGAAACGCTCGAACAGGTGATGACACTGTTGGAAGCAAGTATTGAGAAAGGGCTAAAAAGCGATTCAGGCAGGTTCACATCAACTGCACTTATTCATTTGCACATTCTTTAGCAATAGCTTGTCGAGTTTCACATGGGTTGAAAGTTACTAGTTACTCACCGATAACTGGTACACTCTCTTTGAACTTGCCCCGCTTTACTCCATACTGACTTCCCCACATTGATTATTCTCAACATGATTCAGACACTGATAATCTCACTTTTGTACCCGATATTCCTATGTTCTTGTGATATTTATTTCAATTCAGTGGATCGAAATCATTTTATCTTTGTTAACAACTCTTGTGGTGCTTTGCTCGGAAGAACGACCCAGGCGGCGTGGAGATGACCGAGTTCTCGCGCGCGTTTGCTACTCCACGCCGTCTGCCACGCGGACTCGGTAGGGCTACATGTCCACGACAGACTCCTACAAGTTCTCTACTTCAGCAGTGCACTGGGGAACTTTCACTAAGCCTAGTTCCCTCCAAGCACTCCTTCAGCACTGGATGTGCTCTGCATCATGAACCTGAGTCCATTTGCGGGTCCTGGGCACCGGGCGATATTTTAAGATATAAGATGATCGTACACTTCCAGTACATTAAGCCGATCTGTTGGCCAATTTTATATCTCTTGATAATCTCCCCCTAACGATAAGCAAGAGCAATATCTCTGAAGAATTTCTAATTCTATGTTTCAATGCGTGGATTCTGCCGCCACACTGTTTCAGGCGATGCAGGTGCTCTGAAGATGCTGCCGACATATGTGCGAGCGGTTCCGAATGGCGAAGAAAGCGGAGATTATTTAGCTTTAGATCTCGGTGGAACAAATTTCCGTATTCTGCTCATACGACTGAATGGACGAGAAGCGGAAATGACGGGGAAAGTGTACAGTGTTCCGCAAGGAATCACTCAAGGATCTGGAGCAACAGTTAGTAGTTTGCAGTGCTTCAGAAGACCAACTCCCGAGCTCCACTTTGCCCATATCGGCTACTTTCTCATTCTTTTTCATTTTATGGTCACCTTTTCAGACTAATCGGCGAATATTAAGCTTCAGTTAACCTGGCGAAAAATAAGAGAAATCAAACCGAAAAATTTTAATCTCGCACAAACTATCACGCTAATTCCATTTTCAAAGTGCATAGCTGCGATTGATTTGAGAATTACATTTGATCCAGACTTTTGAAAGAGTGATGTCGTATCAAAACGCTATGCTATTGTGGGCAGGCTGCATCCATATGAATGATACTCAACGCTGAAAGAGAAGTGAAAGTTAGTGAAAGCATCAAATCACCAATGTAAAGCGGAATATCTCGCTTAATATCGCTGAGCTCATCGAACATCAAAAATCTAGTTATGATAGATGCCGAATCTCAACTGTGTATATGTTGTGATGCTTGTAAAATTAAAAGAAAGAAATTAAAAGAGTTGACGGTCGCTCTTGCTGTCTTGTTCTACTTATCCGAAGCCACTCTAAGACTCGGAAAATAGTGACAGCAAAAACAGCCCTTTTTTTTGGCCTCTGATAGAAAATTAAATAAGGGATCGCAGCAGCAATAAGAAGCACAGATAATAAAAGAATTGAAGAGAAACACCGCTTCATCACTCGGCGATTAGCTTATTGTGTGTGGGTCCCAGAAGGAATATTGCTATCTGTATCGCTCCAACACTCGTCTGACGTGACACCGATCGAGGGGCGGGAACTCCGGGTGATCCGCTAACAGGGCTTCAGCTGTGCCTGAGCTGTTGGGTTTTGGGACTCAACAGCGTCCCTCCTGTTACCTTTGGGGGCTATTGGGTATTTTTAGTAGAAGAACTCAGAAGACATTTTTATCGTAAGCTGTGCCTTTAACTCTAAGCTCCCTCAGACTTTTTGCCACTGCTAACGTCATCTGAAAACACTTTCTGAAATGTTTTCCGATAGTCTTTTTGTCAAGCCACGTTTGGTAGATCATGAACATGCACCACGTTTTCTTCACCACCAAGTCTTTCCGCCAGCTTATTGAGATCATTCACTATCTCTTCCATTTCGACAGTGCTACCAGAGATATCATAAGCGAGTGTTTACTGAAGTTTTTCCATCATTTATGGACATTTATGGCCCACGAACTCCTCGGAATTGAATACCTTCTTAGTCTCCCCGCTGACCTTTCACGCATAGGAAAATTGCTGATTCTTCGATTCTACTGTTGTGGAACCTTTTTTGCTCTCAGGTAAAAAGCGCCTTGCGAGGGGGTTCAAGAGCAGCACTTCCATAACGGAGCAAAACTACAGCGATAACTCTTAAGGCTGGAGGCTTCTTTCTCGCTTTTTATGGCTTCAATAGCCTCTTTCAAAAGTTCTTCATCAAGCCGCATTGAACATTCTGGCGTAATGATGTAGCTTCAATAGCTTCTTTTAAAAGTTCTTCATCAAGCCGCATTGAACATTCTGGCGTAAACATGTAAAAATTGAAGAGTTCGGTCTACAAGATGGACTAGAGTTAGATTGCACAGGCATCACATCGCCAAAAACGATAATTAAGTTAATGAAAGGAAGTAACTTCAAAAGACAGTTCATCACTACGTACTCGCCGTAAGAACTCAAACATTCACGAGAGTACCGCGAGTTCGCGTTTTTTCGTCCTTTCTTTATAAATCGCTTCGAAATAAAAATAAAGTAATCAAGGAGAAAAAAATACCGTTGAACTCAGCTCATCGAGCTCTGTAAGATGGTACTCTAAAATGTTGAAAATGCTTTATTTTGGATTGCGCCATGCACTTGAGCTCCATCCGAAAAGTGATTGCATGCACCTGCGGTGCACGCTTTAGTGCTTGTAGGGGCTCATTGGTCCCTGAAGATTATCTGTTCAGAAATTGCTTAGGAGTGCGCCACGTACTCGACTTTACTCAGTACAATGTGAAAATGACTTTTGGTTTTGTATAGTCCCCTTCGTTCCTTTTTGGTTTGGAGGCTGTAGACGACTGCATCTACTGCCTCTGCACTCAACACTCTTTACAGGCTTCAATGAGGATATGACATCAATTTACGGCAAAACAGCGAAGTCGATTTTTTCGGCATTTTTCCTTTTTTGGAGGAATTTTTCTGCGGCATCTGAGGAGAAGGTGTGGAGGACATCTCTTCTTTGTGTGCAAGTCTGTGATGGCACACCCTGTCATAGATCAAAATTTCTCCCTTGGTATGGGCCCAAACTTCGGAATTCGTCAAGCCCAAATCATGAAACAATGCTTTTCCCTTTCCGTTGATGTTTTTGCAGCTGCGTTGTAGACTGTTAGATTCCCCCTTGAAAAATTCTATCGAATGGTATATAGGTCGACCCGTGACGGAAACCTCCCTACACAACCACTTTCTGCAGCAGGCCTGTCTCTGAGCGGTTTCCTGCATGGCGTGTTTGGATAGGCATGCGGCCATGTACTGTAGTGGCACGAATTTGGAGGCTTCCGAATGATAATTATTTGAATGGGGGATTAGATCTGCTAGTGGCAGGGTACTGAAGTGGCGAGAAGGGGGGTTGGATCGATTAATGACCACTTTAGTGGGGGGTAAGTTCTGCAGGGGACGAGGTACTGTAGTAGCCAGAAAACGGGCAGTTTGAATAGGAGTTCTGAGGCAGTCTGAAGGGGTGGTGGTGAGAAGTTGGGGACGGGGGGCTAGATACTTGTTTCAGTGGGAGAAAGATCTCCAGGGGACGGGGTACTGTAGTGGCAGGAAAACGGGGCAGTTTAAATGGAAGTTTTGAGACGGTCTGAAGGAGCGGTTTCCTTCGTTCATTCATAATGTGGAGACTGTAGATAAGTGCATCTACGGTCTCTGTACTCAATACTCCTCCTTACAGGTCCCATTGAGAATATGACATCAATTTACGGCAAAATAAGGAGTGGTTTTTTTGGCATTTTTTAATTTTTGGAGGAATTTTTCTCCGGAACCTGAGGAGGCGGCAGCGAGACAATCCACTATTGTAGACTAATCTTTGTGTACTGCGAGGCTGTTGTCATACACCTTAACAACGATCAGCAGTTCTCTCTTGGTATGGCTCCAAACTTCGCTTCTCGTCACGCTCAACTTGCAAAATCATTTTTCCCCTTGCCGTTTGAACTTTTTTAAATTAAATTGTATACTGTTAGATTTTCCGTAAAAAGTGCTATCTAATGACTGTTTTTCCCCCCAGCGGAAAGGGAAAAAACTTTTTTTTTTATGATTTGGGCTTGACGAAGTTTGAAGTTTGGGGCCATACAGAGGGACAAATTTTGATCTATAATAAGGTGTACCATAACAGACTTGCAGACAACAAAGAGTTGTCTACGACAGTGGAGTGCCTGAACACAATCTCCTCAGATTCCGCGGAAAATCTCTCCAAAAACTGAAAGATGCCAAAAAAAACGACTCCTTATTTTGCCGTAAATTGATGTCATATCCTCATTGAAGCCCGTAAAAAGTGTTGAGTGCAGAGGCCGTAGATGCAGTCATCTACAGCCTCCAAACCAAAAAAAGAACGATGGAGACTAGACAAAACCAACAATCATTTTCACATTGTACTGAGTAAAGTCGAGTACGTGGCGCAATCCAAAGCAAATTCTGAACAGATCATCTTCAGGGACCAATGAGTCCCTACAAGCACTAAAGCGTGCTCCCCAGGTGCATGCAATCACTTTTCGGATAGAGCTCAAGTGCATGGCGCAATCCAAAATAAAGCATTTTCAACATTTTAGAGTACCATCTTATAGAGCTCGATGAGCTGAGTTCAACGGTATTTTTTATCCTCGATTAGGTCATTTTGAAGCGATTCATGACGAAAAGACGAAAGAGACGCGAACTCGCGGTATTCTCGTAAATTTTTGAGTTCTTACGGCGAGTACTGTAATTCCTTATTACAATATTACGTTAGAACTAGAATCTGTCGCCTTCCGCAACACAAGCTTGGAGACGACGAGGGGAAGTATCGTCCGTAGCACGCAGAGGATGTGTCAAGTTGATCCCAGGCTTTTTGCAATGCCATTTTGAGACTGTCCAAGTTCTTGTGTGATTTAGCGCATGTTTTCGCTTTCAGCGTTGACCACACGAAAAATCCATTGGATTCAGTTCCGGGCTGCTGGTGGCCACCCATCGGAAGCTATGAAGTCGAGAAACACTCCTCTACAGAACTCTTGAACAAATTCTGAACTGTGGCCAGGAGTTCCGTCTTGTTGAAATGGCCATTCCGAATGGCCAAAGTGGTTTTTCATCAACGGCTAAACTTGATCGTTCAAGTTCCCAAATAAGTTTCCCCAGAGGCACGAAGATCAGTGGTGTTTCCGCTTCGGCGCTTTTTCCCGCAAAGATCAAATAAATTGGGTGTTCTCTGTGTTGAATCACTTCCTCGGGTTTCGACTTTGTATAAACCCTGTCATTCTGTTGATTGAGCACTTGTTCCACCGTGAATACCTTTTTTCGTCAGTAAGTGGAATATCCCTGTGCCAACCTCTTTGAAGCTGGTGAAGCAGCTGTTGTGAGCGGTCTTATCTCTTCAGTCTAGCTTGCTCACTTGGAAAATTACCTCTGGATCTTTTGAAGGCTCTGTTGTGCAGATGATCTTCCACGATTCCGCGCAGGGACTTCGTGAAATATCTAATTCTTCAGGCATTTTGTGCACAGATCGCCACTATGACGCAGTCTCTCGCCCACTTTCCCAGAATTCTTTCTAAAACTCACCGAAGGTCTCCTACCTCTGCCCTTCCGAATCGCCGATGTTCTCAACTCTCCGAAGCGTCTTATTGCCGAATATACCAGTCGTCTCAAGACATTAGCTCGTCTAGAAATGTCGCAAAAGTCCTTACAGATGTAAAAATAATGATTGTTTCACGATGTTGCGACGCTTTCATTATTTCTTAACAATCAAATTTTTGGTGCCGTTGAGGAGGGAATAATGAAACTACTTAGTTAACTGCAAAAACCCGACTGCAATCTCAAGAACTCAGAAAAAATCGATTTTGATGCCTGAAGTGATTCGCTTCCGGCAAGCGAGCGCGCCCAGCGGAAGGTGCGATCGCTAAGATCACCTTGTCCTAACAAGTCTTGAGTAGTA